CATGGGGCTGGAGAGATGGCTCAGTGATTAAGAGCACTGACTGCTCTTGGAGAGGACCCGGGTTCAATTCCCAGCACGTACATGGTGACTATGAACCATCCTTGACTCCAGTTCCAGGGCAATCTGGAGCCCTCTTCTGACCTCTGCGGCACTGCACAACACAGGTACACTCACATACATGCAGGCAATACACTCATACACATAAAATAAAAATAATAAAATATTTTTTTAAATAATAATAATTAAAAACAATAAAAATAATTAAATTTCTTTTTTTTTAATCCTGGCACAGCAGTTAAGAGCCCTTACCAAGCCGGGCGTGGTGGCACACACCTTTGATCCAGCACTTGGGAGGTAGAGGCAAGCAATACCTGTGAGTTTGAGGCCAGCCTGGTCTACATAGCAAGGTCCGGTCCCTGGAACTACAGACCAAAAGAAAAAGAGCTCTTGCTGCTCTTGCAGAGAAGCTGAATGTGATTCCCCAGTACCCACATCAGGCAGCTCCCACAACCACCTTTAACTTCAGCTCCAAGGGTCTAACATCTCATGTTATGGGCACTGCTTTCATGTACACATATCCATACACACACATACATAATTAAAAATAAAGTACATCTTTAAAACAGTCCTTTTCCTTATTTAATGCAGATAATTACAGGAAATCATGTAATAAACATCTGTGTGCATAAAACCAAGTTCCCATCAAGTCTTGGTATTTCTGTTTTCTTGGTTTCTTAAATTTGTGTGTGTCCTCATACACCATGTGTGGAGGTCAGAGGACAACTTGTGGGAGTGGGTGCTCTCCTTCTACCACTCAGGTTCTGGAGATCAAATTCAAGGTCATGTGCCATGCAAGTGCCCTTACCTGTTGAGCCATCTTGAAGCTCTTGTTTTAGTTTTTTATGTATTTTAAATTTTTTGCAATGCTTGGATCGAACTAGAGCTTTACAAGTACTAAACAGATGCTCTACCACCCACTCTAGCCCTGATTCATTAAGTGATAAAATATTGAGAATAAAATATTACCAATAAGATTGTAATACTCCTACAATTCTATTCACTGTCTTGCTAGAATTAGCTTTAGTTTAATTGGAGTTTTGTAGAAAAAAAATTTTTTTTTCTACAAAAACTCTGACCAGGTGGATAGCATAAACTGTAATCCCAGCACTTGGGATTTCAAGGTCATCTTTGAACATAGTGTTGGAGGCCAACCTGGGCAATATAAGACCCTGTGTTAAAGAACAAAACTAAAATAAAATAAAATAAAATACAGTTCAGCTGACAGAGTGTTTGCCTAGCATGTAGGAAGCCCTGTGTTCAACCCCCAGCACTAAACCAGTAGTAGTAGCACCAGAGGTCAGTTCAAGGTCATCTTTCAGCTTCACAGCAAGTTCAAGGCTAGGCTGGGATATGTGAGAACCTCTCTCAAAAAAATAAAAAAATAAACCCATACTTATTCTGTCAGTTCCCTAAAAGGGAGGATGCAGAACAAAGACAGGTCACTCGCCCAGGCTATGTCCAGAGACCAACAAAGAGCACTCCATAGTCAAGGGTCAAGGGACAAAGGTCCAAGTAGGCTTGGGGAAAAAAAATCTGGAAGCCAGCGGACCAGTCTTAGGCAAACAAAGTCCTAAATACCAGGAATCCAGACTCTCTGGGCTAGAATCTCCTATCCTGGTCCCCTGTGGCCCCTGGCTTGGGTCAGACTCAAACCCCACCCCCATCCTCTCAAAACACATCAACACAAATCTCTAATTAAAAAAAAAAAATATTTGGAAATAAATTATGGCTATAAACCAGAAAATACATAGGCTAGAGTTACCAGTTCAGAGACTAGAGAACAAGAAATGTTAGGGGCTTTATTAAAACAGAAAAATCTACAAAGTTTTGTTTTGTTCAAGTAATACAGGATTTACTTTTGAAAAAGCATGTTGACAAATATTAAAGATTAGCCACACCAGGTGGCACACACCAGTAAGTTCACTCAAGTTTCTGAGAACAGAAAGAAAACACAAGTTCAGGGGGAGCCTGGGCTACATTACATTGCAAGTTAACAAGCCAAGCTCAGAAGCAAAGTACAACAAAACAGAACCAAACTAAGATGTTATATTTGCATTTCAAACATTTTAACACAAGAGTAAAACAGAGCATTCAATACTAACAATCTCCCACCATTGACTTGGGTTTAGGTGCTGTTTCATATTTTATAAAGAATTGACAAAGTTTTGTCAATGTGTAGAAGTGCTACTCTTCCTTATCAAAATCTTCATGACATTTAAAAGGCTATTTAACCATTTAACCAAGACTATGCTTTAAGATAACTGATAATTTTGCTTATAGTTGTGACAGAAAAGCATTCAATTTTCTGATATTAAAAACATCGTAAGCAAAGATAAAAGGTGTTTCAGTTCAAGTTATTTCTTAGTGCAAATAATGTCAATTTTTCAACCAGGTTCTTAGACACATTCACAGTGGAAGACAAAAAGAAAACTTATCCGAAAAAAAATCTAACTATTCCAACTTCAAAAATAAACAAGAAATCTGAAAACTGAGAAATTATCAATGTTGCCTGGACCATAAGCCTTGCAAGCTAATTGCAACAGATTTCATCAACACTCTCAAGTCTTTAGGGAACTGGCAAACTGGGAGTGGTTGCCTGTAAAGTTAATCTTAAAGTCACAGTTGTTAGTTCCAGTGTCGCTGGCCAAGTAAAAAGAGCCTCACCTATAAGGCGGGAAAACCGTTTCCTTGCTCTACTATGTGGGAAAGTTCTGCAACAGGCGGCAGTATTTCCCCCAGGCCATTTTAGTGTCGTAACAGAAATTAGTCCATTTTGTATAATGAACTTTCACACACACTCAAAAGGGAAACAGTACCACAACCTCGTTCCCCAGGGTAGGGGAAAGTAACTATACAAGGCACCAGGCTTGAACTTAAAACAAAAATAATATATAGTAACAGCCGGGCGTGGTGGGGCACTCCTTTGATCCCAGCACTCAAGAGGCAGAGGCAGGCGGATCTCAGGGAGTTCAAGGCCAGCCTGGTCTACATAGTATAGTGAGTTGCAGGCCAGCTGGGGCTACAGGGAGTCCCTGTCTCGAAAAGACATAAAACAAAAAACAAAAACTACACCACCACATCCCATCAAAACCCTCAGGTCTCTGTCTCTGGAGTCTGGGGTTGGTCTGAACCCTGTTCTTCCTGCCCGGTGTCTGGGCTCCGCGACAGAACTGGCAGCTTTTGAGATGGGTCGCACTGTTCCGAAGAGGCCTGGTACTGAGGGCTGGAGAGGCCGCAGCTCTTAGCGTCTTCTTGCATCTTCCAGATCACCAGCCGCATGCAGGCGCAGGCATCCTCGCCAGAGCAGTGTCCACGAGAGTTGGCTTGGATCATCTGGTTGAGGTAGTGTGCCGAGAGGCCCCGCAAGGACCGCTTGAAGGGGAGACCCCGGTAATGAGGGAAGAGTACAGACGTGTCCACCACCATGCTGTGGATGAACTTTAAGGCCAGCAGGTCGCTCTCCAGACTGTGTCCGATGAGGATGGTGTCGGAGCTGAACAGGCCCAGCAGCACAGCCTGGACATCCCGCAGCCTGACGTTTGTGTTAGCAAGGTCCGCCTCAGTCACCCCGGAAAACATGGTGTTGTAATCAACTATCTCATTGTCCGGCTTGACAAAGGTGTCATAAACCACACGCAACTCTGTGTCCACTACGGTGACGCGGGTCAGCTCCAGGCCGTGCGTGGTGTAGGACATCTCGCAGTCGAGGGCATAGATGCCTGGGTGTGCTTCCCAGTGCTTCTTCGGGAAGGTCTTCGCAAAGCCCTGGAGGTTGTCTTTCCGGCCATCTTGCACGTGTCGTTTGGCCACACGACAGCCCACGGCATCGACACCCCCAGAGCAGCAGGTGAACCGGATCTCCCAGCTTCCACCCACGGCGGTGGAGAGCGGCCGCCCCCAGTGATAGATGCACTGCTCAGAGCACTCACAGCGGCCGGAGGACGACACCGGGTACCGGGTGCCACAGCGACAGCAGATTCTGCTGGATGAGCTCTCGGGCGGCTCGGCCGTGAAGAGCACCGCGGTGCCTGGCTTGTCGGGGTGCGGGAACGGGTAGCCGTGCAGCCTGCGCTGGTCTTCGGTCAGCAGGTAGCTCCGCAGACAGCTGTAGAGCGCCGCCTGGCTGAGCCCCCAGATAGCGCTGGGGACCAGGCCCCGGAGCTTCTTGAGCCTGTTCAGGGCCATGCTGAGGTACCTGTGCTTGCTGGGGCTGCGGTCGTACACCACCTTCTCCTCCGCCTGGGCCTTCTCGATGGCCTCTAGGTGCGAAGAGGAGAACCTGAGGCACTCTTGGGTGAACAGGCCAAGGTAGTGCTGGCGCATGGCCACCGGGACCTTGTCCTTCAGCTCCCTGGCGATGAGAGCGTAGAAGGCACAACTGTACGCCATCTGCTCGGGGATGTCGGAGAAGTTCCTTGACGTCACTCTAGACCAGGCACACAGGTCCGGCGACGCCTGGGCGGGCTTGAGGCTCCAGGGCTCTTTCCTGGGGGTGCTCAGGGTCTTCTTGGCACCTGTGGCGATGCAGGCCAGTCCCGGGCTCGCCACGTGGATCAGCCTCCTCTTCTCGCCGGCCGCCGAGGCGTGGTCTGAGGAGAGCGTCACCCTGCGTGGGTAGACACAGACCGGCTTCCTCCCGACCTGCTGGGGTCGCCAGAACAGCGGCTCCCAGGAAGCAGTGGGCCAGCCTGGGCGCACCGCGGCGTCGGGCCTCGAGGAGTCGGCATGGATGACGATGAACCGCGGAGGCTGGCAGTACATCGCCGGGCCCTCAAGGGGCCCACCCTGGGCCAGCTGGTAGCAGGGCAGCAGCACGTCCAGGACTGGGTGCGCCACCACCGGCGGCGCTTCTTGGAAACCTGGGGGGAACCAGCTTGGCGCGGTGGCTTTGAGACTCATGCTGCCTGGAGCACACGACTTCCACAAGGCCCCGCTTCCTGTGCTGCTCCGAGTGCCCCCTGCCGAGCCCAGCCCTTATATACACCAGAGGGGAGCGGAAATCCTCGCGCAGGCTAAGCCCTGCGGTCCAATCACACTTGATCTAATTTCCTCTGAACAGCTTCCGGAATACTTGGGCTCCTCCTACCAGGGAGGGTCTGCTGATTGAATCCACTGGAGTTTCTCATTTCCTTTTATCTTTATCGTGTTTCGTTTTTTGTTTTGGGGGCGGTGTTGTTGGGGTTTTTTCTCTTTTTCTTCCTTCCTTTGTTTTGTTTTTTTCTTTTTTCTTTCTTGTTTTTCTTCTTTTTTCTCCCCACCCCCCATTTCTGAGACAGCGTTCATATGCTGACCTCAAACTCCTGAGCCGCCTTATCTCAGCCTCCTGCTTGTTTAAGAGTGTTCTCTGCTGTGAGGAACTGCCTTCGGAATTCCTGGCTTCTGACCTTGTCCAGATTCTCCACTCTGAGTGTTCCCTGTGCTAACTCACTCTCAGCCCACAGAGACCGTACAGCCTTACAGTGGTTATTATCTCTGGGCCACACAGGAAAAAATTAAGGCTGGGAGCATTTATGCAGCTTGCGGAAGATCACAGAGCACCCCAAGCCTGGTGATTGGATATCGACTTGAGGGAACTCTGCTACTCCAGGACTATTGATAGCATTTACACAATTACCAAGTAAGGCTATAAAGGAATATTAAATTTATGTAGCACAAACATGTGAACTATCTTTAGACCTGAAGACTTTTTCACAAATAAGAAAAATATAAATTATATTTCCATCAATTTCAAAGTCACAAATCAGAGCCTACAAATACAGATTCTGAAGGGCAGTATTGGCAGTCTACAGAAGAAACTCTTGAACTTGTAAAAAAGCCTAGCTTTTTTAAAAAAGAAATACGCATATCTTTATATATATATATAAATATATATTTATATATATAAATATACATGGGGCTGGAGAGATGGCTCAGGTGTTAAGAGCACCGTTTGCTTTTTCAGAGGACCCAGTTTGGATCCCAGCACGTACGTGGCAGCTGGGATCCATAACTTCAATTCGATGGCATTGGATGCCCTCTTCTGACCTCCACAGGCATTGTATATACACACAGGCAATACACTAGTACACATAAAATTTTAAATATATATGCATTTTATTGAATTTTTGTCAATTTCAAAGATTTTTATTATATTTATCCCTTTCCCTATCTGCACCCCCTTATAGCCCTTCCATTGGATTTCATGTATTCTGTCATATATGTTAAGGCCTATCAAGCCAATTTTGTGTTCCCAAATGTCTTTTGGTGTGAGACCATCCAGTAGAGCTTGGTTAACCTATCTCACATCATTCCCCTAAAGAAAAACAGCTTTTTTTTTAATGCTCTCATCTCTTAGTTGGTTTTTGTTTTAAAGTTAGTGACACAATATAAGGTAAGAATTCAATTTCTTTTTTCTTTTTTTTTTTTTTTTCTTATTTTTGGCATATGAACATCTAGTTTTCCCAACATCTGTTATCGGAGTCTTTTCATTCCCTGTAATGAGATCTTGTACCCTTGGCCAAGATCATTTGACATATACTTCTTTATTGAATTTTTGTGTATTTCATACACAGCATCTTAATCATCTTTATACCCCCTTCCCCACTGACACCCTCCCATAACCCCCCTCCTTAGATTTCATGCATTCTGTCGTTTATGTTAAGGCCTATTGAGTCAAGTTAGTGTCCCTGATCTCTCTCCATGCAAGTTCATCCACTGAGGCCTAGTCAGCCTATCTAGAGTTACTCCCTTAAAGAAGATCAGCTCTTCCTCACCCAGTAATAATCAGCTGCCCAAAAGTTCTTCAGCTAAGATTGAGGCCTGCTGCCCATTTCCACAGTTCTATTATGGGTTTTTGTCTGCTTGAGTTTGCACTAATATTGCATATGCTGTAAGTTCATATGAGCAAAGTCCTAGGAGCCTGTAAGACTTGATTTCCATATGGTCATGCACCTCCCCCCCCTCTCAAAATCTTTCCACCCCCTCTTCTCCAATGATCCCTGAGCCTTGGATTCATTGCCCTCTGTTGCATGAGGAAGTTGAGAGATGCATTAGAAGGCTCTCTACCCTTTGTTCCACTGTGTTCCGTGAGTCTTAGGTATAGAGGTTCCATTGTAAATGTGTCACTTAGGGTTGGGCATTTCACAGACAATCTCTGTGTGTGACCAGTTGTGGAACTCTATAATAGTCTCTTGTCTATCACAAAAGAAGCGTCTTTGATGATTGGTGACTGGCATACTTGTCTGTAAATGTAAGGATCCATATTTAGCACATAGTATGAAATTACATTTGTCTATGGATGTGACAGCCTTGGGGTTTTCCCTAAGATCTATGACCTCTCCAGCCATGTGTATTTTGCTGTGTTTACATTACCACACATGAGGTCCCTCCCATTGATTGGGCTTTAGGTCAAATTAAGTAACTCTTGATTATCCCCAAGATAAAAGTGCCACTACTGCCCCAATATAGTTTGTTGTGCCAGCCATTGTTTTGGTTATTAAGCCTTAAAACTAGGGTTGGACCATCTGTTGATATTCTCCCTTAGCAGTTTGCATGGTGTTCTCCAAAACCATGAGAGCTAGTCTTCAGGGAAGGTGGCTTCCAGGTCAGTTCCAGCTCCATTGCTCCAAGTCCTGTGTCCAAAGTACACCCTGTCTTCATCAGTAGGATCTTACCTTCAAGTTATGGGAGGCAATCAAGGGCTGTAGCAATGACCTATGATATTTTGGAAGCCTCTTGAACTACCCTGGCCAAAACCTTGAAGGGAGGTTTCTCCTGTCTGACATTGTTTCTTGTCCTCAATCTCTCCCTGTCTAACCTTCCCTCCATGCACCCCCCATTTAAAATATCCCCATTTTCCTCATTTCTCTCTTGATAATACCAGTCTCCTAAGGTCCCACCTCTCTTGAGCTCCTTCTTCTGCTTTATCCCCATAGTTCCTTATATACCCCTCCCTCCCCGTTCCATTTAAACACCCTCATTTTACCTATTTCCCCCTTGGTAACTTTTGTCTCCTACTGTTCTTTTTCTGGTTCCTTCTTTCCTTTTACCTCGCTCCTGTCGTTACGTCAGGATATATACTCACATATAAGAATTTGGTGCTAAGATCCACAAATGAGAGAGAACATACATCATTTGTTTTTCTGAGTCTGTGTTACTTCACTTAGTATAACAGTTTCTAGTTCCATCCGTTTACTTGCAAATTTCATGATTTCATCTTTCTTTATTGCTAAATAGAACTCCATTGTATAAATGTACCAAATTTTCATTATCCACTCGTCAGTTGAGGGACACAGGTTGCTTCTACTTTCTATCTTGTGAAAAGAGCAGCAATAAACATGGATATACAAGTATCTCTGCAATAAGATGAGTTTTTCGAGTATAGTTTTGATTTGTTTTTTAAGGTGTCTATTTTTTATTGAATTTTTGCGAATTTCATGCAATACATTTGATCATATTTAGACTCCCCTCTGCTACCTGCACCCCCATTGCCCCCACCCACCAGATTCATGCATTCTGTCATATATGTTAAGGCTTCTTGAGACACATTTACGTCCACATATACTTTTGAATTTACTGCTAGACTCCATTTTGTTTCATTAGTCTATGCCTGTTTTTATGTTAATACCAGATTTCCTTGATTATAGTATACTTTGCAGTGTGCTTTAGAATTCAGATGTATGAGGCCTCCAAATTGTTCCTTTATAAGGTGTTTTGGCTATGTGTTTATGTGTTTTATTGAGATTCTGGATGAGGTTTTCTTCTTGGGCTTCTAGTATCAGTTCTTTGAGTGTAGAGAGGAAGAGACAGGTGGCAGTTCCCTGGCAACTGTTGGGCCCTGCTTTCCTTTTGCATGGAAATTTAGAGGATTGTTTTCCTGTTACTTCTGAAGTGTCAGGCTGGTGCTGCGCTTTTCCTGCTTCATTGTGACAATAGGCAGGATAATTCAGTAAAGTGTAATAATCAACTTGACAGTCATTAGAATCACCTGGGAAATGGGCTTCTGTGCATGCGTGGTGGTTTGAGTGAGAAATGTCCCCCATAGGCTTCAAGCATTTGGATACTTGGTGGTGGTGCTGTTTGGGAGAGGTCATGGACTCTTTAGGAGGTGTGGTCTTTCTGGAAGAGCTGTGTAACTGGGGACGGACTTGGAGAGTTCACAGCCTTGCCCCACTCTTTCTGCTTCCTATTTGAGGTTGAAGATGTGCCCGCTCAGCTTCTAGCCCCCACTGCTTTCTCTCTGCCTGCTGCCATGCCTCCCACCATTATGGACTCTCCCTCCAAAAGTTTAATCCAAAATAAAACTTTCCTCCATAAGTTGCTTTTGTCCATAGTGTTTTATCACAGCAACAGAAAAAATAATAATTCACCGTGTCTATGGAGGATTAGCTTAATTACATTAATTGAGGGGGGAAGACACATTGTGACACCATTTCCTACTTAGGGGATCTTGGACTAAGAGTGGGAAGAGCAAGCTGAGCACCAGCATGCATGCTTTCCTCTTTTGCATCCTGCTTCCTTCCTGTGGATGGAATAGGAAGTAGTTCAGGCTGGCCTCAAACTCCATCTGTAGCTCACAATAAACTTCTGATCTTCCTGCCTCCACCTCTAGAATTATAGACATATGACATCATGCTTGGTTTTTTTGCAGTGCTGGGGATTGAACCCAGGGTTTTATGTGCACAGGGCGAACACTCTTAAGAACTAAGCTATGGCCCCAGTCTCCATTTTCTTATTTTTGTGGCATCAGTTCACATGGTTAGGGGAGAGAACTAGTAGACAAAGTTTATCATCTTGAAAAAAGCTTTGAGGATTTATAATCACCATGGAAGAAAATCTCTGGACATGTCTGTGAGGGATTATATGAACTAGGTTACTTGGCATGGGGAGACCCACCCTAAATGTCGGCACTGTTCCTTTGT